GCTCCAAAGAGCTATTCAGTCACATCGGAATGAATCTCAGAGACTTCATTAGCAACTCCGAGTACGTTAATGCATCTATTCCTGATTACAGCAAAGGCAAATCGGGAAGCACAAAACTACTCGGAGTACCCTATAATACCGAGGATGACGAACTTCTCCTCAAAGTGACATTGTCACCAAAACAACACATGACCAAAAGAGAACTCGTTAGTGCAGTCCATAAATTATACGATCCTCTTGGCCTAGCACTACCCTTAACACTGAAGGCAAAACTGCTTATGAGAGAAGTAGTTATGCTTAAAACAGCCTGGGGAAAATCACTCAGCCAAGAACACATCAACAGATGGAACGAAATCTGTACCGAAATATCTGGCGTTTTCATCAAGGTCCCGCGCAATATCGGTCCAGTGGCCACCGGAGAAGAAGGCTCAACCCTTTGGATATTCGGTGATGCAAGTCAGCTAGCAATATCGTGTTGCAGTTATGTGACTCATCCTCCCGACAATCAAACGAGGGGGTTACTGTGCGCGAAAACAAGGCTGGCTCCTGTGGAAAGACAACTCTCTATCCCCAGATTAGAACTTCTTGCCATTCTAATATCACTTCGACTGGCACGAACCATACTCCAGTCCTACCAAAGCCGCATACGCAACGTTCACATAGTGAGCGATAGCAAAATAGCTCTAGCCTGGACACAGACGTCTAGAAAGCTTCCTCTTTTCGTAGCTAACCAGGTCGACAGAATTAAAAAGCTACGTCATCTCATTCAAGAATACGGAACCTCACTAACACTCAGTTATATCGAATCTGAAAAGAACCCTGCTGATATTGCCACCCGACCAGTTGCCAGACAACCATTCGAGGCCAGTGACTGGATTACAGGACCTCAATGGTTCAAGCTCCAACAAGCCCACTGGCCAATAGACTCATCATGGGAACAGACCCCGACCTCACAAGACAAAGACCAAGAAGAAACTAGCAGCGCGCCGCTGTGCGCACCTGCCATACAAACATCGAAACAAGCAGCCAATAATCTAATCGATCTATCACGCTTCCGATACTACTCGCGAGCGTTAAGCACATTGGCAGGCGCAATGAAGGCGCTCGCACGGTGGATCGCGAGGGTCAATAAGCAAAACAACAGAAACATCGCACCATGCCTGCTGCGAAGTTCTCAACACACAATGAACTTACGGCCGCGGAAGTGAAGACAGCGGAACACATGCTTATACATGAACGAACACGAAACAGCGACATAAACGAGCTCCGCTCGAAATACACAGACAAAAACCTATTCTACGATGAAAATCGGCTAATCAGAGCCAAATCGCGGCTTGTTAACTCAGCATTACCGCGCGACACAAGGGAACCCATCTTCATTCCAAGTGACTCAGAGCTGGTGCGTCTTATTGTAAGAGAATTGCACGAAACAAACATGCATTGTGGCCGACAGCACACGTTATCGCTTCTAAGAATGCGATTCTGGGTACCTAAGCCGTCATCGAAAATTCGCAAAATCCTCAGCGAGTGCACGGTATGTAAAAAAGAGCAGGGGTTACCATTTCCCTACCCAGCGACACCTCCGCTACCGAAAGACCGTGTCGTTAAATCCAAGCACTACTTGATGTGGTGTGTTGTTGATGCGGCTTGCGACTACATTGTGTATGTCTGTGTGTGTGAGATGTCTCTGATTGAGTGTGTGTGTGTGAATAACGATGAGAAAGCATACATTGCTCTCTACACATGTTTATCGACAAGAGCAGTCCATCTAGAAGCGGTTGACAACCTTTCCGCTTCGGCATTTCTAGACAGTTTCTTACGCTTCATCAGCCGAAGAGGTGTACCCATGCTAATGCGATCAGATTGTGGGAGCAACTTCGTTCTTGGTGCTAAGGTATTAGATCTTCTCTTTCAAAAAGATCAAGAGGGGAGATCAGTTATGGCATACTCGGCTACAAGAAACATAAAAAGAGGACTGCGAATTAACCCACCCAGCAGCACCAATGGAAATGGCGCAGGTGACTATGAGGAACGGCATCGTAGGAACCGTCAAAAAAATGCCTCTCGAAGACTATAGGGCGCAAAAGACTACCGTACACCAAATTCACAACAGTCCTAGCCTGCATTGAAGCAGTTGTCAACACACGTCCACTGACAAAGGTGGACCCTGAAGACCTGACATCTATCCCATTGCGACCCGTAGAGTTTCTATAGGGGAATGTCGAGTTTTCGCTCCCTGAGAGTAAAGACATAGATGAACAAAGCGACCCCACTTACGAAGAGAATTCAATCGCCACGATGCAGCAAGCTAGGGAAGCAATAGAATTTGCTCAAGAAATGGCGAATCACTTCTGGAAAAGATGGCAAAAAGAGTATTTGACAGAACTAAGAGATGTTCACAAAACGCTTATGAAGCAACGCAGACATATCTCGCGTGCGCTCCCTGAAGTGGGAGAAATAGTGCTTATACAACAAGACGGGCTAGTACCCCGCAGCAATTGGCCGCTCGGCCGCGTAACAGACCTGGTAACAAGCGCTGATGGGTTAGTTCGCTCAGCGAAGGTACTAACACCCTCGGGCAACATCTGCCACCGACCAGTCCCCAAAGCTCATACCACTCAAAATCCGTAGCTCAATGGATGGCTCAAAGACCGTGAAGCTCCACACAGGAACGATAACAAATCTCCCATAGAACAGCGAACATCACTTCCAAGAAAGGCAAAGCAAAACATCACCTACTATGATACTGAAAACGAGTCTGAAAAGTCGTCGTACTCGCAACATTTCAAAACCAACGGTAACTTCCTTTCGAAGTTAGTTCTCTACCCTTTTATACTACTGGCATTAATCCCGGCTGTGTTCGCCACACACATTTCCTGCCAAAACGGTACGGTCATAGTCACTCCACCGTCACCGTCCTATACTCTGTGCTTCAACAAAGCATGTCAGAACAGAACAACGAACCAAACATCTACCTTTGCACTTCCACCATCTGCACACGAAGAGAAAGTGAAGGTCACACTGCTAAGTCGCAGAGCAGGAGCTGACTTCAGTCATAGCAGAATGTGCGATCGACAGGCCTTTTGTGCCGACAAAACCCTCTTTTACGACATCTCTATTGGGGAACCCCCACTGTTGGCCTGAAGGTGCCATCCTAACCGCTATATCCCTTGCCGCAGTTATAGGTATTACTGGCGCTTCTCCTTGGCATACTGATCAGGAACAAATGGTCGCAACTAAGGCCGTCAATAAGCCACCATCAGCCCACCCTGAAAACGCAGGAAGACAAAGGAACACCATTCACCCTAGGACATCTGAAACCGTCAACCTTTGTCACAGGAGCACTAGTACTGCTGACTATCTGCACCGCGCAAATCAATTCTTGCCAACACTTTCACGCTCATTATAACGCCGAGCTCATATGTGACGACTCGAACAAATGTACCGTCGAGTATGAACAAGAGCTGTTCTTCAATAAACTTCATCAGGAAAGTCTGCATCATGCTTCGGTATCACAATAACACAGTGGGCAATCTCAAACTCACTCTCCAACGGACGCGTCGAATCTGCAACAAAGAAACGTTGTTCTTCACTCGAAACACAGCTGCGAAGGTGTATTACGAAAGGCGGTGCCCATTTATGGGATCATGCATTGAAGATAAGTGTAGAACTTTGCAGCCAAACGACAGTATTCCAGAATTACATGAGGCCGAAAAATTCCCAGGCTACTCCATGTGCACCTCAACATGCACCGGATTAACCTGTGGCTGTCTAACACCCTTCCCGGCAGACGCCTACCCGGGATGCCTATTCTATCGAGTTGCACAAGTACCGCAGAATGACGAGGTGTATCACATATTCAAGTGTAGCTCCTGGAACCCCGAAATTCACCTCACACTAGAAACAACTCATAAGGAAATCGCAGCGAAACGAGTCTTTGCAACTACATCCTTATGTTTCAAAGAAAGTAGGCGGTTGGGACATGAAAATAACGTCTGTACAAAACATGCAAGACAGCGCTCTCAACAAACGTTACGCAGAATCCGCAGCGGGATTCAAAATGCTCGGCGATGCATCTAAAATCGCCGTCGAATGCCCAGATGAGAGCACTGCCAGCGAGAATTTCAGCAGGTGCTCCAACGAGGTAATCTGCACCTGCAGTCATACAAGGAGTAGAGTACAGTGCATTTGTCCACAATACAGCTTGAAGGACTCGCAAAACTCTATCACCACTCTACCAATCATAGCGTCGCACCTCAACATTACTGCCTCCGACACAGTAATAATTGATACAGACGACGGAGAAATATCATTACTCATAACATCAAAAAAGCAGATTCAAATGTCACAGGTCGTAATAGACCCTCCCTGTACTTTACACGCAACAGCTGTAACCGGCTGCTATAATTGTCTCGAAGCCGCAAAATCTACAGTACACTGTTATTCAGAGAAAACCACCGAAATAACCCTTGAGTGTACAGATCAAACTTTCCTAATCAAGTGTTCAAAATACACTTTAGCCAATGTCATAATGCTACAATACGATCATGCAAATGTAAAAGATGTATGCTCATATCAGAGCGCAGGGAAACTCTCCGAGATCACTTTGACAGGCACGCTTTTATACCATACGCCCACGCTAGACCACGAAATATTCGCCGACGGTAAACAAACAACCGCAAGTAACACAGCCTGGTGGAGCAACATTTCGTTGCCAGACATAGGTCCGCTTGCGGCTACAATTACCAAAAACTGGAAAACAACCGTCGCAGTTATCACTAGCTTCACAGTAATCGGACTGCTCACATATTTCCTCGGACCAACAGTCATAATCACTATTGTTCATTTACTCGTCACAGTTGTCTTTGCGATGGTTCAGACACTCTTCGCATGCCTCACAAGCCTATTCTCCCTTCTGCGGCGGTACCGTAATCACTAACCGTCACGCCCTCGCTTTTGGCTCCACGCCAGCGCATGTCAAAAAAAATCAGAAGCACAACAATCTCAGTCCCCATCGTTCATCGCAAAATGTTATTCGACGACAACTCTCCTCGCAATCATGCCGAAGCTGCCAGCTGCGGTGCCCGATCCAACCAACAAAGAAGACGCACCTGCAGACACGCCCGGCCTGGCGGCAGCCAACCACCCCGATACCTTTGAGGTCTCCACTCGTCTTACCTTGAATTTGCTCAAGTTCGATATTCAAGAAATCAAGAACAGTGTTTCGCCTCGAAAGTAAGATCGATACCCTAATTACCAACACTGCTCCTCGCCATCAGTGTATTTTCTGCGAAGCTGACAATGAGGATGGCCACAGATCCTCAATCTGTTCGGTATTCCCCGACACTATCTCCAGATCATTCCGTCTACGAGACCTCAACAAGTGCATTTCCTGCTTGGCCCCCGCACACGGGCAGTGTTCGAACAAATGTCGTTCCTGTGGAGGCACTCACCATGTTATTCTCTGCGCGGAACGAACAAAGCAAGGACCATCTCATAAACGTCCAAAGCTCGAGCACTGATGCGTTCATCTCATTGCAGGTTGGCTTCCTTCGGAAAAAACACCACGTTTCATTTTTCTAGTACACCTTCTAAAACTTACTTTCAGGTTTCAGCATTGCAGAAAAGAAGAACTCTCATGCCAGTCGGATCTCACTTTGCCATGAACACCTGCCTTTCCAGACATCCATTACAGTAACTAATGATAGACATGTTTTTTTTCACCTACTATAACCTAGTTCTCATTTTACTTTCATTCCATTGCAAAACCTATGTTGTGTTGTTGCCTTTGCGTACATTTCTGCCGCAGTTTTTTCCACCCTTTTTGCTCTCTTTATACAGCCCGCTTTCTTTGTTTACCCGCCCCATACCACTGTACCCCATATTTCCTTCACACTTACCGTGTAAGCGCAAAATTACAGCTCACACCTTACGGGGTCAATCATAAGACCGAGCAAGCCGTAAACAGAGGGCGCACAGTCCAAAAATCTCGGTGATGATCCCTATTATTATATGGTATGTCATGTATTACTTGCTTTTCGGCCAGCACACCGGCTCATTAATACCGCTCAAGATATCGTCAGCGCATAAGGGGAGCCGAGAAGGACCAGGCGGCCTAATTATCCACGACTTACTCGGTAAAAAACCACAAAATCAAAATGGCAGAAGTGAGCATTATTTTGCGTACCTCACAAATCACAATTCTTCAGTTATCTCACCATTCAAATTTCAATCGCTTCACTTTTTTTGTATGCCCCGGGAGTGTTGCGGTATGCACCTGCAACCGCAACGCTCCTTACCGTATTCCAAGGCAGAGCGCTCGCCGGACAGTGGGAGGAGCTGCACTTTTCTAAGGGTAGGCAGACGGCAGTCGGCTGACCCAGCAGCGCCGGGAGTGGTGAGCTGGACCGGCGAGAGCTCTGCCACCGCCGCTCATACTGTTCACTTGATACTACAAAATAAATAGCTTGGTCAGCATCCTTTGTTAGAGAGAAGAGAGGATAGGCCGTGACAATCTTTGGTGCATCGGACTGGATCACGGTAAGTGCTCTTCCCCGTGATTGGATGATGACCTGTCAAGGGTCGAACTTCAGTAGGATTGCAGAAATATTTGATCGGACAGTCGCAAATCGTTTCGGTCCTTTCAGGCTCTGATGAAGGCGGTCTCGCCGAAACGTGCGTAAGCCGAATA